ACCTGTGCCTGAAGGATGGCTTGTCAGGCTCTCCCGTGTCTTGCAGAACTTCCAGACAGCGGTGCGGGAGAACGTTACCATTAATGGGCAGCCCTGGGAGGAGACTTCGCATGACTGTGACCTGCAGGGTAGTATGTGTTGGTTTCCATTAATTTCCTGCTGCATGGGTTTGGATTTGGTTTTGCATGTGGTGTTTTTAATTGGGCAGTTTTTCTCTCAGCTGTCTGTGGTGGTGAGGATGCTCACGGAGCAGGTAAGGTCAGACTGCAGCTCAGCTGTGCCCGTGTAAAGATCTGAAGCGCCGCACTGCGGGAGCACAATTCTCGCGGAGCAGTTCATAAGTGAAAAGAAGGGTAACCAAGATGCGTAGGGACCTGTATCCATGACAAAAAGGAAGGGCCCTCAGGAGGGCTCTCATGAGTCAAGCCTCCTACACTGCTGAAAAAGGAAGGTGAAAGTGCTTTGTTTGAAGGACCTTTTCTTGTTTGACACTTCTGCCAAGATCCTTACAGATCTTGAAGCACAAGTTCCAGCTATCACTAGTACGATGACTGCAGAACTTAAAGGATCTGCTCTTGACTACCAGAGAAAAGTAGCTTGGAGACTCTTCAAGTGTTTGATATTAACATGGGGAAAATAAAGGCTTAACTAAGCTGTCTTGCTGGAAAGTCTACAGCAAGCTTTTAGAAAGGTGATATTTCAAAGCAAGTTTTTTCATTTGGGAGGTTAGGAAAGAGTATATTCTATTTCATCGGCTTCCCTTATCAGAATAAAGGGAGTATGCAAAATTTAATGGAATAGGGTGAGGTGATCTGTTTTTAAAGCTAGAACACAGCAATAGGATCCAAGTCTGGAGGCTTCCTGCCCTCTCTGGGCAATCAGTTTCTGTGTTTGACTGCCCTGACGGTGAAAAATTCCTTCCCTGTGGCCTGTTGGAATTTGCTTTACTGTAACATATCTGTTGCCTCTTGCTGCACACCTCTGAGAAGAGCCTGCCTCTGTCTGCTCTAGAACCACCCTTTAGGTAGCAGAGGGTAGCAGCTAAAGTACCCCATAGCCTTCTGTTCTCCAGGATGAACAAACCCAGCTCTCTCAGATGCTTCTCGTACATCATGTGCTCCAGATGCCAGCCCTCTTTGTGGTGTTCTGTTGGAATTGCTCCGGTACTCAATGACACAGGCTCCCAGAGCATCCAAACTAGGGTGTTATGGTCTGGGTAGGTGAGAATCATGGCTGGATCATTGAGCTCAGAGGGTAGTGTTTAGTGGTTCATGCTTTTACCTCAGGGCTGATTACAAGCAGAGTTCCTCAGGTGTCTGTTCTGGGACCTGTTCTTGGTAATGTCTTTGTTGGTGACCTGGAGAAGGAGATAGGGAGGAGGAGATGGAAGGTGCCTTCACCCAATTTGCAGCTGACATCAACCAGGGTGGGGTGCAGTGAATAGACTCAAGGGCAAGCCCATTCAGTGGAACCTAAACAGGTTGGAAAAATGCATTGGGGAATCTCGTGAAATTCAGCAAGGACAACAAGCAAGGCCTTAGACCTGGGAAGGGATAACCCCCTGCAGACATGTGGGATGAAAAGGACCTGAGGGTCCTGGCCGGCTAACCATGAGCCAGCCTAGTATATGATGTTAACAGGAGCGTAGTCAGTAGATCCAAGGAAGTGATTATTTGCTTTTACTGGGTGCTTGCTAGAGCACATCTGGAGTAGTACACTCAATTTTGGGCCACCTGTTCTAGGAAAGTTGTTGAGTGAGCTCATCAGAGGCTTCCAGGATGGCCAGAGGACTGGAGCACTTGCCCTGTGAGTTGAGACTGAGGGAACTGGCTTGTTTAGCCCAGAGAAGAGAAGCCAGCCTTCCACTACCTGCAAGGAAGTTACTGAGAATGTGGAGTCAGGCAATTTGTTGAGGTGTGTAGTGGGAGAATCAGAGGCAAAGGTCAAATTGAAAGGGGAAGTTCTGACCCTTGTTGACTATTAGGATAACTGAGCATTGGAAAAGGTTGCCCAGGGAGCTTGTGTGGCCTCTAGCACTGGAGGCTTCCAAGAACCAACTGGCCAAGTGTCCCGAGTAATCTGGCTTGAACTGGGTGTTGACCCTGCTGTGAGCAGGAGGCTTGAGTCACGAGAGCCCTCCTGAGGCCCTTTCCAGCCTGAGTGATCTTGTGTTGGGGACACTGGCCGAGACACCCTAGTAGTATGTCTGTTGCTACTATTTAATATGCAAATGAAGTAAATGTTTAAAATTGTTGCTATATAATCACATAATTATATGTAATATATACAGTATTATGTATGTTACGTGTTGTATTTTGAAGAATAGTAATGGAGATTCTCCATAGTCTGGTGTCCAAAGAAAATTTCAGTGTGATTTGTTTGCTGGCCTGTGTTAACGTTAGATGTTCTTTGCCCGAAACTTGATGCTTTTTACAGTTGCATGAAGGCAAAAATACAGATATATTGAACTGGCTATGGAGAAAGAGCTCTTTGAACTGTTTTTTGGTGAGGAAGCTTCTGCAGTTGTAGTTCTAGAGTGATAAAGCTCCCTCTCCTTTAACTACAAAGTCAAAAATGCACTGGTCTTGCAATGCAGAATGCTGAACTGATTCAGCCTCGCTTAACTAATTCCAGTGTGTTCAAAAATTCATAAGAGGATTTTCTTAACAGGAGAACCTTGTCTGGTTGGATGTTGTTTGCAGTAAGTTAGCCCTTGCCTGTACAAGTCTAACTTTATGCCAGCTGAGGTGCTGTTGTCTTCCTACAGCTGGCACAAAGCACGTGTAAGGACTGTATGGTGCTTTTTAATTCAACATAAATTTACTTGTGTGCCTTTCTCTGATCTAGTTTGAATCACCAAGTGTTCCGCATTTTGGGCCTTTGCTGTTTACGTTGACCAGTGGCTCAGGTCTTTCCTCTCTATACTTAAATGATTTCATGGTGATCCTAAAACGAATGACAAACCCACAAACTCTTAAAACCTTGATTTTGCCTTTCTGAGGTTTACAATCGCCTGATTCTGCACAGATTGACCAAGAGGGGGTGCTCAATATCCATTCTTTACCACTAGATTGAAAACTGTATAGCTTGCAAGCTGTGCTCAAGATGTTAGTGGGGACAGTGACTTTAAATGCTAAGGAGTTTGCAAAATTAAATTAAAAAAAAAAATAAAAAAGCAAGGCTGGTGCCAACGTTTCAAATCTCCACCAGGAGAGAAAAATTACTGGACTACGCAGATGGAAAAATACAGAAATATACACTACCTTTCAGTTAGACACAGTTAGGATGTTAAGATTGAGTGGTTAATTCTGTTTTCTTCTATAACTCTTGATTTTTGTAGTTTGTAATGATGGTGTGTAATGTCAGGACAGGGCAAGCATTTACTAAATTTTGAAATCAGCTTTAAAATACTTTTAAATACACTTTTAAAATACCAGCTTTTAAAATTGTTTAATTTAATTGCAATCTTGAAGAAGCTGAGTAGATGTAGTAGGGTAGCACTAGTCAAAACACTTCAGTCAAGAGCTGAAAAGAGGTTCTAGGTATTTAGTCTAATCTTACGATTGGAAAAGCAAGCTGTGAAAGCTAACTCCTACCAGATACAGTTTCTTGGGCCTCACATGTTGAAAGCAGACACGTTTTGGTTTTTTGGAAACTCGTATGACTAGTAATTACAGATGTCCTCAGGATGCAGAGTATTTCCAGGAGCCGTATTTCATTAGGGTAGCGTTGCAAATTGTCAAAGATTCATAGATGGATTTTAAAATAAAACTATGTATCTGTGCTTTATATGATATAAAATCAGTTAGGCTTCAGATTACTGTTTAGACAGTTGGTGTTTGTTTAATGCCTGAAAATTACACAGATAAACCATTTTTCTCGCTGCATCTTTCATTGCCTTTCTTCAGTTGAAAAATGAATTCTCTCAGAAGATAACCATTTCTTTGCAAGATTTTCTGTATCAATTCAGAGTTCGTAAAGAAAAACATCTTTGATTTTCCCCCCAGACAGTTCTCTGTCCACCCACACGCCCGCATCCCCCAGCTCATTTACTTCAAAAGTAACCATCCAACATCAAGTTGTGCTCCAATTTCTGTATCGCGTTAGCAATGAGATTCAAGACGTGCATTTATCTCTTCATTGATAATCATGTATGATTTCTTATTTCAGATCTAAAGCTTTTTTTTTTCCTTATAACTTTGTCTCAAATAAAAAAAATAAGTAGGAGAATCCCTACAGTACTTTTGTGTGTTTGTTGCTTTTTAGGTTCCAGCATTAAAATTCTGGAGGATCAGTTTGATGAACTAATAGTGGCGACATCAACAAAGCGCAAGCAGTGGCCTAAAAAGATACTGGTGCATGCTATCCAAACCATGAAAGCAGAGCAAGAGATGTTGGTGAGTAACCTGAGATTTTCAGAAAACCTTTGCATGTGGTAGCTGCTAACCGTGTGTAACTTGAAGAAATAAATCATCCAATGTTGACCTTTAAGCTCCTTCCCGTAGTTCCTTTTGATTCTTTGTCCTATAATGAAATTGGCTTTTTTGCATTGATTTATTCTTCAGTAAAATAAGGGTTACTAGAAGGTGTTGTGACTATGTGACTTGGGCCAGTGGCACAGTTCAGCCAGTTACTTAAGCAGGGTGTTTGACACGATGACTCATGATTTACAAGCCAGTATCTGCCTATTTATCTTGTCAAATCCGGGTTTCTGAAATCCTTGGCTGAAGGCTGGTTGAAGTACTAAGTGTTCTGATACGTACAGATAGATATTATCATGTGCAGTGTATGACTTTTTAAAAGATGCCGGTGTTTTCCTAAGTGCTTTTGTTGAGCTCATGATGACATTGAGCATGTACTTTCAGTAAAGAAAAGAGAAAAAAAAAGTGTGGATTAATGAATAGCTGCAGTAATTCCTCTGGTTTTTTGACACTTAAGTGTAGCGTAATTACTGGCATTCAGCAACCCGTTCATGTCCTTGGTTGCTGAATGTCCTTCCTGCAGTTACGTTAGGCCTGCCCTTTGCTTACCTGCTGATTAGTTAGGAGTTAATTTCCCTTGGAAAAAAAAAAAAAGGACAAGAGACAGTGGGCACAAGTGGAAATACAGGAGATTCCATTTAACCATTAAAAAACCCAAACAAAACCCCAAACCTGTGAGGGTAGTCAAACACTGGCACAGGTTGCCCAGTGAGACTGTGGAGTCTCCACCCTTGGAGGTATTCAAAAAACTGACTGGATGAGGCCCTGAGCAACCTGCTCTAGTTGGCCCTGCTTCCAATAGACTGTCTTTAGAATTCCTTCCTTCCCTTTCCAACCTCAGCTATTCCATGGCTCTACACTAAAGAAGACGGATTTTTTTAGGAAGTTATTTGAGAGCCTACATTGCATTTCTGAGGACTAAAATTGACAAAAGTAACTTTCTAGGTTAGCCAGGCATAGATGATTTACAGTAAGTAAAAGTGCATGGGTATATATTTGTGTTAAATCTGAAATATTTTCTAACATACATTGCATTTTGTAATCTCTCTCTTTTGTCAATATATCAAGTATGTTGAACACACTAAAAAATCAAGCAAAATTAAAATACGCTGTTGTATAACACAAAGGTTTAACAAGACCTTTTAGTCTTTCTGCAAAAGGAAAACACTACCCTTTTCTGTTGCTGACCTCTTCAAATTTTACACCACCACGACTAGATGATGATTTTAATTACAAGTGTCTGCAAAATACAGAAATTCTTTAGTTTATCTCTGTAAATGAAGTGCCTTTTTTTTTTCCCACTCTTAGCTACTTCTGTAAAGTTACTAGTGGTTTCTCTGCTTTTGGTTGAGGAATTTTAATGTTCTGTTTGACCCTAGCTACTCCTGCGGTGCGTGTTTTCTGAGGCATAAAGAGCAGCTATGAAGATGCAGTAATTAACTGCCGTTTATCAGGAGAGAACCACTCATCTAGCTTGGTGATCTCCCTGTAATTGCCAAAGCAAGAGATTGTCCTGTAGGTTTTCGATCAGTAACGTTCTGTTATGTTTGAGGATAACACAAGCAATGTTTGACCTGCTTGGAGCTGTTGCTGTAAACTTGCTAAGAACTGTGTGATCTGTGAAAAATTTGCTCTGGTAAAACTACAAGGAGGAATAATTAACTTTCCTCCGACTTGTTTTTGGTTGAAGAAGGTTGAGAGACAGCTCCTGAAGTGGAGAAAAATACGAACTTGCAGATGATATAGCTTACGTTCCCATGTCTTTGCCTTGTTTCCTTCTTGCCTGGTAGTTACATCTAATTCCACCATTAATATAACTGAATATTAGTGGTGTTCATTATTAGTTAACTTCAAGTCACAATTAACTGATGTCAAGTCACAAGACTCACAGTAGGACCAAAGAGCCAGAGAGCCTGGTCTGTGAAGGAGAGTGTTCTTACTCATGCATAAGTAATAGCAGGGCTAGCATGCAGTCCTTTAAATAGTTTTCTTTTTCTTAGCTTTTTGTCTTAATGTACCCTTTGTTGGAGTTTGCTCCTCTGTGAAAGCGTACTGTTTTTGTGAATGGCTCCTTAGAAGCCTTTTTCCTCAGTTGTGCAGCAGGTGGCAATGCTTTTTCCAAAATGCCTGGACTTCAATTTAGTTCTCATGCTTCAGTAATTAGAATTCTGCAAACTAAAGCAGATTTTGGAGATGTGGGCGCAGTGAACGTAACTGTGTTAACCAGAATGCTATTTCCAGTAACTGAGTATCTGTAATAAACAGTTACCTCTAATACCTCCTTTGTCTACATAATTTCACCACCATCTCCTTGTATTAGCATTTCTCTGTTGTTCTGATTTCTGTGTGTATATCAGATATTTATTAAATTAAGAGGGTATTTCCGAATTTTTCTTTTTTTGAATATGCAGAAGCTCTACCAGCCTGTTGTAACACCAGAAGAGATAAGATCACAGCCTTCTCAAGGTAAGGATCATCCTGGGGAGGGCAGCTGTCCTGAGGAAGCTCTGCCGGCCTTACTGGCTAGCTGTAAATGTTTAAGAAGCTTTCTTTAAACTTGTTTAAAATGATTGACTGTTTAAATAATTAACTAAAATAGCTAGAAATTTGTCATAGTTGAATGTATTGCTGCATCAGTTGCCGTACCCATTTCTCTTCTGAGTGCTGTCTGCTGTAGGGCACTTAAAGGCAAAAGCTGGCTGCTGCGTGGCTATGGAGTAGACTTGTCACAGAGCCACCCTCAGCAGGTTTTCTTACTTCTTTCCTTCACCGCTGGCGGGGGCCAGATGGGGAACTAGATGGATCGCTGACATTATACTTTGACTTTTCTTGTGTTCCTTTTACACGAATACTAGAAATGCTTCGGTCTCTCTTCCTAATCGGTCAGTTTCTTCAGGGAATTGAAAGCAATTGTGTAGTACTCGGTGATGGCAGTGCTGACTCTCCTGACTTGCACACTAGGCATCAGATTTTATCCTGCCTGTGTCATTTTGTAAGGGTTGATGAAGAAACAAAAACCTGCCAACAATGGCATGAGTTTGCTACGTGCTTTTGAAAGATGCCTTATACAAACTCCTTGGAGCAAGGTGGCGTGTGTTGCAGTTGGTGGTTGGGATGTGCTTTTTCGAGGCTGGCCTTGAGAAACTGTAAGTTTTGTCCTGCCTGTTCTTAAGTATTGAAAAATGTCAGAGTTTCCCAATGCTGTTCGAAGTTGAAAAGCACGGTTGCAGAACCCTTGCTGTGGGTTACTGCACGTGGTGTAAAGCTGGTGTAACAAGTAGTGGTGTTACACGAAGTTTGAGAAGCTGAGCTTAATCTTCCAGTTCTCACCCTGCTGATCTAACTTCACTCTAAGCGTCGTTTCCTCTTTGTAAACAGGAGACGTTGCTTCCAGAAATGCCAGCCTGTGCAGCAAAGCAGCTAACAGGAGCAGTGA